ACTCTATAGCTTCCATACTAAAATTATGTATGTGTTTAATTCTTTCAACTCTATAATATTTATTCTATTTGTCTGTTCGTTGTCATCTTTCATCACATCAAGAATCTAACGCGTGCGAAACCAAAGATATCGAAAGTATGTTCTTTATCTTTTTTTTTACACATTGTTTCGGTATTCAAAATCACCATCTATCATTTTATTGAATGTTTTGTTCGATAAAATTGAAACGTTACTGCGTCTTTCTTTTAACAGGAGGAACTCGAGGTTCTCAGAGCAAAGGTGGAGAGGTTGGAACAGGAGCGGAATCACTTGAAACACGATAATGATAGATTGGAGGCCAAGGTATATAACGAACGAAAATTCTTTTTACTTCGTCCCGTCGTCACGCGAGTTACACTTGATTAATTGAATCCAACAAATTGACTGTCATTAACAACAAACACGCGAAACTAACATCCCTCATGTCTAGCACATCTTGTGTTTTACGCAAGGAAATCTCTTTTTAATGAAACGCTGCTAAGATCTACTTCTTAAAAAAGTTATCTTAATAACTAGCCACGTAGATCATTTACCTACTTCGGTATATCCAAGCAACTTCATCCTTCATCGAGAGTACAGCAGCTCGCTCGACTAGAACCCGCGTATCCAAAAGTCCGAGGAAAGTTGATTAAGCGGCGGTCGTTTGTCCGAGCACTTGTATCGTGCAATTTGGGTTAACTGCGCGAGACGAAGCGTGCCGTCACACACACACACACACACACACACACACGCGCGCGCGCGCGCGTCGTTCGTTTATCACGTATGAATCTGATCAGCGGAGCATGAGCGAGGAGTAGCAGCGACCTCCGCGGTTCCCTTGCTCTCGGATAAAAGTTCCAGTGACCGACATTTAGTTTAGCTGCCTAGTGGCCTGGTGTCGTATGAAAATTCCTCTCATGACCTTGGCATTGCTGTGTGTACCCCACGCCACATCAGTCAACCAGCGCTTGGCCTGTTGCTGGTATTGTTCCGCAATTTCTAACCGGTTTCGTTTCGCTCGTTCGACCTTTCGATCTGCCGCTCGACTATTTCAGCCGATCTGTCGAACGATTTTCTACTTCCTGTTTCTCCGCCTGTCTCTGTGCTGCGCGTCC